AGAATTATGTCTTATTCCTGTTTAGGTGGAGTCTTCGTGGTCTTATTGTGCGGCTTGGCATTCGCCGTGCTCATAGCGATCTTCGAGTTCTGTTACAATTCCAGGAGAAACGCACCGGCGGAACGGGTGAGTGTATCGATCTCGTAAATCAATGTTGAAATACATTTCGATAAATCGTCGCCAGCACGTTCGCGTTGCACTATTTGACTCTATTCGCAATCCAAATTCTCGACATAAATGCTCGTTTGAATTTAACTCTCAAGTTACTCTTTTTCTCGTTGAACTACCGTCATGATTAAAATTACTTAGCACAAAATGCTGCAAAATCTTGTCGAGTAAATATCATAGCAATGAGAAGCAAGGCAGAAGTTGCGTTTTCAAGGATGTTATATCTATCGAAGCGGACGATTATTGATCTGTGAGAACTGGAGGGTTGAGGGATATGCATGAATCGTACATAAGCATTGCATGACGTTCCCTGAACTTTGTTTCATCGCTACGCCATGGATCCCACCGTATCAGCATGAGCTCATCGTCCATTGAAGCATGCCGCTCGACTGCAACTCGCCCCAAACACACAAAGTTGCGAAGAGAGGTCCGTTCCGCCACTGCGAAAACTTTTTACGAATCCGCTTGCTTCAGCACACAAGCTCTTTCTAAGATATTATTTTTAAACTAGTAAATATATACATGCTGCAAAAATGTCGCTAACAATTTTCTATTTGCGCGTCATGATACAAGTTGCGGAATGAATTAGCGAAAAGTGAAAATTAGCTTTTTGTTAACATGCAATATATTGAAAGGAGATCGTGTATTTTTCAACAATTCTTAGATTTAATATTTTAGATCTATAATTAAGAGATTTAGATTATATAATTCTGTTATATTAAAGACCACTTAAAATTGCACGATTAATTATTTATTTTCGCTGTATCTTCAATGCGGTTTGTAACTCGAAAAATATTTCACAATAAGAAATAATATTATTTATTCCCTTGTCGCTAATTCTAAAATCCTTCTATATCATAGTAGATCTTATTGTGCTTCTTACAAGATTATCTTTAATAATCACGTCAACAACATGCGCGAATAATTCGTCGTTGTGGGCTGCTGATGTAGCAAAGGCCTCCGATCCCTTCGACGCCTACTTCCGGTTCTCTTCAGGGGATTTCTCAGGCCGTACAACAGCAGCAGCAGCAGCAGCAGCAGCAGCAACAGTGCCAGCATCCACAACCACAACAATCGAATCTACAGCAAGAGTCACTCTGTTCGGAGATGGCACGCGAGCTTTGTCGTGCCTTACGTTGTCACGCGTCATCTCGACGACGACGTACCTGCGACAAATGCTCCACGCACGTGATCGGCTATCCACCGGACAATCCCACTGCCACCCCAATAAACGGGATAAGGTCTCAGGTAATAATCTCCCTTATCGCTTGTTGCTTATTAATCTATTAGTCAATGCCTTTTTTTTTGCAAGATGCCAACATAAATACAAATCAATTAATAACATGTAATAAAATAATAATAACAATACATATGTTTTATATGTAAATAAAAATGGATCTAAACTATCTATTCGGAATACATAAAAAAAGCATCAATAATGTTTTTTCTATTTATTAGAGAAATATTTGTTCGAGAATTAATTTGCATATCTTTCGTGACAACTTATCGTGTAATGAAAATAAATGGAATATAATATATACGAAATATAATTATCTTGTATGTTCTTTTTTTGAGAGAAGATTCCGCGATAATGACATATTTCTCTGATCATTGTCTCTTTGATGAAACTGATATTCCTATCTTTTATATTCGAGACCGACTTTATATCACATTATCACAGCTTTAGACAAGAGAGAAGTCAATCCTCCCCGTTATATCGTTATTCAATTATATTTTATATTCACCGAGCTTCTCTATATTCCCATGTTCATTAAGCTCATAATTGCATTTGAATGTTCCTTAATTAACGAGCGGATTTACTTTTCGTCGGGATGGGCATACAAAATTTATTATACCCCCTTCTTTCTGGAGAAAAATTCATGCAATATTACAAGATAAAAATTTTATTAATATGTAATTAAATCAACGTAATTTATTAAACGTATTAAAAACATTTCATAATTTGCTGTAAATTACGAAAAGTAAACATTGATTTCTAATTTACAGAATTCCAGAACCCGCAAAAATCACGAATCCTAAAATCGTAATAAATAATTAATAAAAATTAAGAGGAATTAAACGTGCTAAATTAAATTGTATTAAACACAATATAATACTTAATTAATAATTTAAAAAATGAAAATACAATCATTGGTAAAATTACGATTAAAAAAGAAACATGGATATGTATTATAATATTATATAAGATTCTCGAACTTCTCCAAAAATTTTACACATACGATTACTGCGACGTTGACACTCATGTAACTATTATATAATCATGTTACAGAGAAGCAGCCTGACCGTACCCGTAGTCGAACTGCCTCCACACATCCACATGCATCATCACGCACCGCCGCATGATTATGACGGCAATTAGAGGGACGTCGTCTTTAGCAAGACGAATCTCGATGGCATTAATCGTTAATCAAGATTAATTACAAAGCGTATCACGAAAAGCAATTACGATCGATTTCATTGATATAGACTCTTGCCGAGAAAAAATGTCGGCATTCGAACAATTTTGCACAATATTTAATAAAGACGTTCGTCGCGTTTCCGACGTTTGCGATTATGAAAAGAGCTTAAAACGCTTTTTCTAAATCGACATGTGTCGCTTTTTCGCACACATTTGATAAATCCGTCAAAATATTGACGCGATACTGATCTAATTGATAAAGTAACAGCTCTAGTGATTTCTCTTGGCCGCAAGTTTTGTACGATTAATCAATCCAGGATACGATATAATTATTTTGAGACAAGACGTGTCTGACACTTTATTCAAATATATTTGGGATAACGTGATTCAATATAAGATTGTGTATATATATAAAATCCTAAATTGAAATGTTATAACCAACTCGCATATATATTAATTCTCAACCTTGTCAAAGGAAATTTTGCCTTGATGTGATGCAGTCAAGATTGAGTTGAAAAAAGTTGAAAAGAAATCGTATAAAATGATTTAAATTTAATTTACAAAAAAAAAAAAATTAAAATGTACAAAAAAGGAAACTTTCCTTCTCTTCTTCTATATTCTTTCTCTCGTTTTGAAATGAATATTATCTGGCAAAATGTGCTTTTTTTCTATCCGACTTTATCTTTAGCGCATACATTTTTTTTTATGTCGAGTCGAATTGTTATGAGAAGCGAGCATTGCGAGATAGCAATCTATATATCAGGCACTAAACCCTCAATTCTACTTTAACTGATATAATATCAAGTTCTATTAAGAGAGTAGTACGCTGAATCTATAACGATAGACGATGAACAATCCTTCCGTCTTACGTTTAGATAACGAAATCATCTAATATATCTGCGATGGTGATCACGGATATCTCTGTCATAGAGCACATTCATGCTACTCTCGCACGAGATCCAACGTTCGATCCATGCACAGAACGATGTTTAAACACACTCTGTAAATGCGTTCTCTCTTTTTCTTTCTCCATTTTTCTCTATAAAAGGCTGCCTAAAGTGTAAGGTACTTGCAAAGTATTCTGTAAATATCGCCGCGGGGATAAAGCAGAGCAATTAAATTCGTAATGGAAATATTTTATGCAAAAGCGAGTTTTATGCGAGTGAGTAATCATTAGTAATCGAGTACAACTTAGATGTTTGGTGTCATGTAACGTGTGCTGTAACAATGCTGATAGTCGGCGAATAAATGTAAGATAAGAGAATCATTGCTGTGTCTCCTCTTTCGAATCCTCTTCAAACTATAGTTTGCAATTTAAAATAAAAGTTAGTAAAAAAATATTTTAAAAAATTAGTAAATAGAATACCATAAATATAATTTTAAATCCAATCTAGTTTAATTTAAAGCCAAATTAGGATTAAAGTTATCTAAACTAATCTACATTACAAATAAATCAATCTTCTGATATCACAGCAAAATACATAAGTTGTTTCAAACGAATCGCTCTTAAAAATTACGGAGGTGCAAAATACAGAAAAACGTCACCGATAGAGATTGTCTTTTTTATATAACATCATTTATTAAGGGATAAAATAAATGACAAATAACATATCGCTTATATGAAACTATAATATTTCTTAGTGTTCATTATTCGTTATGATATAAAAGAAATCACATCACATACGACCCCCCCTCCTCCGGGAGCCACGTTAATAGCGGCGATCGCTCGAATTTTTACACACGATATACGACGAAACCGGCTTATTGCCGAACAATACGCAGATTAGCGGGAATTGAAATTCCGCGGAATTCCTAAGTGAAATCCTCGAAGAGAGGTTGCGAGCTCGTGTCGGTCCATGATTAGATTAGGCTACGACCGCGACGCTTAATCGAATCAACATGACTGAGATGTTACGACGAGCTACGCGCGCGAGGAATTCCTTCTCCCTGATCCAAGAATCTTTCGAAATCTCTTCCTCGTCGGTGCAATCAACGAATTACTATCAGAAAGGATGTTTCCTCCTTGCGTATAATTCTAGGACTAAATCTAGAGAAAAAGAGAAAACTTTTTCCTCCTTTTACCACTCTACATCCAATTACTCAACTGATGTGCAATTTAAAAAAAAACCTTGATGATAGTAATTCGCTTAATAATCGAGACGGGGGGGCCTGGTCAAATCACTTGTAATTATCACACAATCATTCCCGATACGGTGGCATGTACTATTTTTAATATGCTTTTTGTGACTTTCGGAGGTGGACACTCAACTTTGCACGGTTCGTGCATTTTCTCTCACTCTCTCCCTTCCTCTCGCGTTTTTCCTCTCATTCTCTCTCTCTTTCTCTCTTGAGAATACCCACTTGAAACAATTGTGGACGACGAGCTTAGACCCAATTCAAGGTCTATATATACATAAAAATTTATTTTTTTTTTTTTACTTTTTTAAAAATGTTTTACTCCACACTATGCGCGCCTTCTTGCTTCTTTCTCTGTCACTTTCTCTCTTTTCCTGTGCTCCCGCGCGTCCACCTCCAATATTCTCACTATATACTTTACCGAGGCATCAACTCGACTCGAAATCTCGACACGCTCTGCCTCGCGTGTCCAAGAGAGAAACAGAGAAATTGATAAAAGTGGAGCTACGATCAGACACGAGACACGATCGGAGGTCCCTCTGTTTTTCTGATAAAAGAAGTTACATAAGACATCTGAAATAAATTCAAAAGATTTTCAATCTATTTAAAAGATATAACGTCGTGAAGCATCTTTCAAGCGTTATGATGGCTTTGCGATGATTTTATGTTTCGCTATGTGAAAATCAGAGATCTCCATGTTCGATATTTGATCGTATCCCGCTGCAAAAGCATTCGCCTATATACGGCACGCACAACTTAATCGCTATTACATAAAAATCTCAATTCCTTCTACATCTTTTTTTATCTCTTCATCCTTCTCTCTCTCTCTCTCTCTCTCTCTCTCTCTTTCTCTGTTTCTCTCTCTCTCTTTTGTTTTCCTATCATATTTCTCTTCTTAGAATCGCGAAATTATGATCTACCGCAATGTGTGGTTCGCTACAGCGGCATTCACAAGAATTCAACAAGAATTTCTCGCGTTTAAAATACAAAAGAAAAGCACAATGAAAAAAGATATGAAGCAACCACTGTCCGTTATCGTTACAACGCTCTTCTCTCGTTACAACGACGATTTTCTTTCTCCCTCTACAAGCCTCACGCGTATTTCTATTTTCTCTTCTTGTCTCCCCTTCTAACTCTCTTTCTCTATCTTTCGCAATTACTACATTATGAGATCAATCTGCGCGCACTTATCGCGAACACCTGTTGCTATCCGTTACTCTCTCTCTCTCTCTCTCTCTCTCTCTCTCTCTCTCTCTCTCTCTCTCTCTCTCTCTTTCTCTCTCTTTTTCTCTGTTTCTCTCTCTCTCTCTTTTGTTTTCCTATCATATTTCTCTTCTTAGAATCGCGAAATTATGATCTACCGCAATGTGTGGTTCGCTACAGCGGCATTCACAAGAATTCAACAAGAATTTCTCGCGTTTAAAATACAAAAGAAAAGCACAATGAAAAAAGATATGAAGCAACCACTGTCCGTTATCGTTACAACGCTCTTCTCTCGTTACAACGACGATTTTCTTTCTCCCTCTACAAGCCTCACGCGTATTTCTATTTTCTCTTCTTGTCTCCCCTTCTAACTCTCTTTCTCTATCTTTCGCAATTACTACATTATGAGATCAATCTGCGCGCACTTATCGCGAACACCTGTTGCTATCCGTTATTGCTCTCACCTACATCGAAAAACTTATTATAAAGTTTTTCTTTTGCTGATCGTAAAATGAACAATGCTAACAAATGACGAAAATTGGCGAGAGCAAAGACATAACTGAAAAGATAGATTAAAGACTCAAAAGACGTTCAATTATGTTCGAGCAATAATGTAGAATATAAATAACGCATAAGAAATAAATAAAAAACGTGAAAGAGAGAGAAAAACTGATTCAAAAGAAAAAAGAAAGAAGAGAAAAGAGAGAGAACGGAAAAAATTCGACTACGATCTCCTAGGACTCGTGTCGCGCCGTTTTTTTTTTTTTTTTCGGAACATGTTAAATAAATAAAACTTTATATAAAATCTTATATTTTCTTACAGAACCAGGATGTATTAAAAATACACATCCGTATGTTATTATTTTTATATAAAATTCGAAAAGAGTTGAAGTAGCTTTCGAAGCCGCGACATAATTAACCTAAATAAACGTGATTATTATGATAATTAACGAACATTCACTCTTTCTCTCTCTCCCTCTCTCTCTCTCTCCCCTCTCTCTCTCTCTCTCTCTCTCTCTCTCTCTCTCTCTCTCTCTCTCTCATCTGTGATTGCATAACGCGCCAAAAATACATACGCATCGAAATCTATATTATTAGTCACCTAAAACGAAATTTAAAAAAAGGGATCAGAATTACGTAAAACCATTGTGTATGTCGGAGAAATCGTGATACTTATAAACTAAACGCGCGAATAATTTTGTTCCTTAAATATTCGGACATAAAGTAATCGTATAAAATATTCGTGAGTAAAAGATATCGATTAGTACAGAGTGGAGTACGTTTTTCTTTTGAACTTATGTGTCAAAACACATTTTGCGTAAATAATTTATATATAGACTGATACGTACTATTAAAATTCGGGTAATCGCAACAATACTCCCCTTGTACAACTCTTTGGTTTCAACTTCGCGGACACTCGCGACGCGAGTTTGATTAAGAAATAATCTACTATAAAATCCAATGATCAATTTTGATTTTTGACAATTTGATATCAACGTACGTATCCTTGCAAAAAAAAGAAAACGTCCGGATTTTTCTAAACTCATCGATCGCGATCGACAATTTCGTAAATTGTCCGAAGAACGAAGGGGAGAGAAAGAGATAGATAAAAATAGAAAGTTACATAAATGGAAGCAGAGAAGAGAAAGAGAGTTTCGAAGTGGAGATCGAAAAATAATTTAAAAAAGAAAAAAAACGAGAAGTGACAAAAATAAAATTGGAAATATTGTCGTTAACATGACAAAAACTGCGAGTGTTCTCAGTATCGAATTGCAAAAAATCGTTACTTCCTCCCCTCGGTTGCTATTCACGAACAACGACAGGACACAAAGCAATAAGAGAAAAAGTTCGATCGCTAAAAAGTTATTGGTTCTGCCGATTCGGCTATTCCGCTCTGGCGAGGCGAGCTCTAAGCGATCGCGCGAGACGCGTTTTTCTTTTTCTATCTTAAATTCTCGGAGTGATATGTAGAGGCGTCGTTTAAGGAAACAAGAAAACGCGTCGCTTTGTTGGTCGAAATGTCTCGCTGCTGCTATCCATATTTTATTCCGCATTGTTCGGACGACGAACCGTGCGTGTGTGTGTATACATGTCTCCGTATATGAACTGATACTTTGGAACACGATTTTGCATCGCCGGAACAAACTCGCCTCCGGATGCCAGATGAAAAATGTTATTCGATATTCGTTTCCCGTAGACTAGATAACTATGATCGAGAATCGGAACCGGTGTAATATCGGAAAATCTAAATATTTAATAATTGATTAAAATAGATGTAGGGATTATGAACATTTTAGTAAAATTTTGAATGGCGCAATTATAACTTTGAAATTTTTGATATTTTGTAGAGAGAATTTATTTTGTATATTATTATATATTAGATAAAAATTTTATTTTCTATTAAAAATTTTAAGTTGTATATTTACATATGTATTAGAATAATATATATATTTGGCATCCATAAATATTTAATAAAAATGTAATTTTTCGCGCACTTCTCAAGGCCCGCGAATTACCACAATTCACCGAAATTACCCCAGTTTCAATTTTTAGCATGCGTCCTTGCGTCTTGCGATCTCACTATGCGTTACTTATCATCATTAGCTCAATCAAGATCAAAGGAACGTTCATAAATTTGCATTCCAAAGTACCGATATTCTGATATCATTGAACACACATGTGAGTAAATTGAATATTTGGAGCGCGCCCGCGCACACAATATGTACACACACACACACATGCACAGTTATACAATAAAGAGACATTATAATTATAAACGATATACGTAGAATTGTCAAACTTCTGCGTACGCACTCTCTTTCTCTCGCTCTTCCTTTCTCTTTCTCTCGCCAAGTTAATCGTAAATATGCGTATATATGTATCTATATAAATGTATGTGTATTATATATATATATATATATATATATATATGTGATATATATATATATATGTGATATATATATATATATGTGATATATATATATATATGTGATATATATATATATATGTGATATATATATATATATGTGATATATATATATATATGTGATATATATATATATATGTGATATATATATATATATGTGATATATATATATATATGTGATATATATATATATATGTGATATATATATATATATGTGATATATATATATATATGTGATATATATATATATATGTGATATATATATATATATGTGATATATATATATATATGTGATATATATATATATATGTGATATATATATATATATGTGATATATATATATATATGTGATATATATATATATATGTGATATATATATATATATGTGATATATATATATATATGTGATATATATATATATATGTGATATATATATATATATGTGATATATATATATATATGTGATATATATATATATATGTGATATATATATATATATGTGATATATATATATATATGTGATATATATATATATATGTGATATATATATATATATGTGATATATATATATATATGTGATATATATATATATATGTGATATATATATATATATGTGATATATATATATATATGTGATATATATATATATATGTGATATATATATATATATGTGATATATATATATATATGTGATATATATATATATATGTGATATATATATATATATGTGATATATATATATATATGTGATATATATATATATATGTGATATATATATATATATGTGATATATATATATATATGTGATATATATATATATATGTGATATATATATATATATGTGATATATATATATATATGTGATATATATATATATATGTGATATATATATATATATGTGATATATATATATATATGTGATATATATATATATATGTGATATATATATATATATGTGATATATATATATATATGTGATATATATATATATATGTGATATATATATATATATGTGATATATATATATATATGTGATATATATATATATATGTGATATATATATATATATGTGATATATATATATATATGTGATATATATATATATATGTGATATATATATATATATGTGATATATATATATATATGTGATATATATATATATATGTGATATATATATATATATGTGATATATATATATATATGTGATATATATATATATATGTGATATATATATATATATGTGATATATATATATATATGTGATATATATATATATATGTGATATATATATATATATGTGATATATATATATATATGTGATATATATATATATATGTGATATATATATATATATGTGATATATATATATATATGTGATATATATATATATACACATATATCTATATATATACATTTGCTTTGTATGTTGTGTGTATGTGTCATACATATATATGTAGATATATGCGATCACAGAACACGTATAATTCGCGTGTAATAGTTTGTGCCACGTTCTTCGTGTGTATGTATGTACCTTAACAATCTATTATAAGGATTTAATTTGTGTTTAAACAGCCTCTCCTCGATCCTCCTCGCACACAACACCATTTGACACCATTTGCTCGATATCCCCGCTGTTACAACGATCGTAATTAATCGCCGAGGGAGGGACAGGGCTCCGTCAATTATGCATTGCGTACCCCATCGCTCTATTGAGTTTTCTCTCTTTCTCCTCTATAGTGCATTATTAGAGGTTACGGAGGGAGGCTATTAGAAGGCATGGAAATTCGTTGATAAACACCTACGCGTGCGCGCGCATGATATCGGGCGTCGAGAGATTGGTGTTTTCGTGGTCGGTCGGTTCTCGCAATAGTGCTCGATTATGGTAACAATTATGGTATCCCGATCCACGCTTTCCTTCGTGCCATCTTCCCCCCTCCTTCTTCAAATCACGAGCACAGAACAAATACAATGATTTTTTTTCTCTAATTTAAAATAGCAGCCGAATTTTCCTCTCGCGCAAAACTCGACGCAGTATACGCGATACCTAAACGAGATCGATATATTTGTCATTCAATGTGAGCTTGGCGATAGATACGAAAAGTATTTATCGTCAAGTTCCGCTTTCAATTGAGACTTTAATCTCCTCCCATTGCCGACGAAAGTAACAATGTCCAATCTTCAAAAAGCGATCTATCCGCTGTATCTTAATCTCAAGATGAAAAGATACCTCGTCCTTAGATGATTGGAAGCAAGCGGTTCGCGATGTTTTTCGCATTCGACTAAACGACAATAGAGCGCGTCATCCCTCGGTAAATAAACACAGCCGATAGGCATTGCTTCTCTCCGCGATCGCGTGCGTGCACCGAAACGTGTGTGTGTACGTGTGTGTGTATATGTGTGTATGCTGCACGTGATCGCGAATCGTCCTACAATCTAAGGTTTGCTCGACATATGCGTATGACGAATGGTAAGTAGATACAAGTTTATGTTAGCTTTCACGTTCTTTTTTAGTTTTACGAAAGATGAAATCATGGAAATAAAACGCGAAGATAAAACGCATCGTGTGTGTATATATGTATGTGTATATATATATATACATATAAAATAAATAGAAAATATACATTTTTCGAATAGACATACTACAAATTACCCAGAGAGCTGAGCGAATACGCTCCGATGACCATAGTATTTAATACTCTGGCTCGTACGATGATCATTGCCAGCATGATGATAGCCGTTCTTGTTTGCGAGCACGTAATTAACGAAGAAACTTCGAAAGATCTCGACAAGGGCTATAAGAATATGCAATAAAAAATAGAGATTTCAATTTAAAAAATTCAATGTGACCTTGATATGACCTTAATAATGCCACCCAAGGTCTAACTAATAGTTCTATCTCTTTTCCCCTTCAGAACCAAACAACTTTTGTCTAAAAATTTTTTTTCTAAAACTTACAGGTTTTGAGATATTTGCCTGTCAATATATATATATATATATATATATATATATATGTATGTATATATACAACGCAAAAGAGACAAAGGATGACGAATTCAGCGTTAGATTTCTTAATTTAACCTTATAATTAATTTTCCACTTCTTGACAAGTTATCAAGACTCGACACAAAAGTAGAAACAAAATATCGCGCGCGGAACTAAAATTTTTTCTCGTGTGTGCACGCGTCGTGATGATGCGTTAATCCATGAACTCGCTAGCGAATCGCGCATAAGATCGAAACGTAAACACAGTAAAAATTTTGTGTGTATATGTTTGTGTGTATAAAGTTAAAGCGCGACGCGAAAGCTACTAACAGACGAGAGCAAACGTTTTTTTAACAGATCTGAAACATAAACGAAACGCACAAATAACAGTCTGCTACGATGCCGAACGTAGAAAAATACAAGTGTCTATGTACAAAACAAATTATAATCTTTCGTCTCTTTATCAACCCCAGCCTTGTCTTTTTTCTGTCTGTTCGCACAATCTCTTTCTCTCCTCTTAGTTCTCTAGACTCTGATCTCCCAAACACGCACGGAAGAAAGTACTTTGCCGATCCTACATATTCGTCGCAAACTATATTAAATTTATTACGCGAATAGATGGACCGTAACGTACAATCGATGTATTAATAAGTCGCTCGAGGAACAAAGATGCGATTGGATTCGCCATTGGATCACGCAAAGAGCTCCACTAAATAGCCAAGTATTGCGATTCCTTGCATCTCTTCTTTCTACCCGATTCATATCTTCCTTTTCTTTGTCTCTTCTTTTTTCCTCGCTTCTTCATTACTGCCTTTCTCAGCGCTGATTGAAGAATCGCGATTGCTCTCTATCGCCGCGATTCACGAGTCGATCGACGATGAAGTGGCTTTATGATGCCGCGCGCGTGCGTGTATATATATGTATGATGTTCCATATGAAACTCGACGATATCGCGCTCACTCGTTCTTTCCATGCCTTGCGCAGAATCCGAGAATCCGGATAGCGCGATAGAATGGCTCGAGAAAACAAACTGACAAACTGACAGACAGCAGATAGATAGGGGATGACGCAAAACTCCGCTTTAGGTCATATATCGCATCACGGCGCGAAGAGCATATAACAATTCCGCTTGCATGCGAGCCTCTAGAATCATCAGGTTCACATGGACCTGAAAAAAAACAGAACATGATATTGATAAATATGATATTTAACAATATCTCGCTACTACCTATGCAAGAATAAATATTTCTTATGTTAATATATTTCTTTTTTCTTTTCGTTATGTTAAAAGCCTTATCAAAGACGCGCAATGGCTAATTTTAAGAGCACGGTTCGTGCGAGCTAATCTTAACTATCACGAGAACTAAGTAGCAGAAGGGCTATTTTTAACTGGACTGTGTAAAGTGTAATACTTCGTATTTAACGTTTAACTTCTGAAATTATTTACATAAATTTACATAAGCTGTTCACTTAAATTTCTACAAGACCTGAGAAATACGAAAATAATATATTATTAATATAAAGAGAAATTTTTTTAATATTTATATAATCGTCTATTACTCATAATCAATTTCCTTATAAAAATTTTAATATGTCTTAAACATTGAAATAAAAAACAAAACATTAGCATTGATTTAATAAACGTTACGTGTTAACGATGCTGTTTACCATAAATATCTCAATTTTAAGACAGTCAATCTTTATTTAATGAAGCGAATATTTTAGTATCATTTCAATTAACATTTAATTAAAGTTTGAAGAAATTCTCAAGAGAAATTAATTGTACTAAATATCTTAATTCGAGAGATGTATTTACGCTTACCTTTTCGCTGTGCTTGAACTCCCTCATGACGCGATCGTAATCCTTTTTAGTGACACGTTCCGGATAGCAAACGGCACTCTTGATGAAGGTTTTGAGGCTACGCTCGAGCAATTGATTCACCTCATTGTAATCGTAATCGTCATGCCTGATGCCGAACATGCACTGTATGTAGTTCCAGATCGCCCGTCTGAAGCGCGACGTGTCGACCTTATTGTGCGTGCCCATGGTGTAGTACGTCAGATTGTACGCGGTCTTGAATTTATCGTCGAGGAGATTACCGACATCATTGTAAAGACGATTCACCAGGGAATAACCATGATCGTCCCAGGAGTAGTCCTGGACGCGGAAGGTCGGTATGTCATTCAGCTGACCGCGCTAAAAAAAAGGAACAAAAGAATCGCGTTAAGAGCGGGGACGTAGTGCCGAGAAAAAAAATTGCATCGTCGAAAGGTCCCGAGAGATGAACCAATTATGCCAAACAAAAAAGTAAGAAATTAAATATATTACTTGAATTATCCGGCGAGGTAACTTTTTTTTAAATAACTTGCGCATAATTAACGCGTGGCATGATCGTCGGCTCTGCCCCGCCTTCGCACGGCTACCTCGAGTCAGTCGATACACAACGTTGTTGTCGCGCGGTAAATATTCATGATAGTTACGCGAACGTCGCCGTAAGCTTCGCGAGCGCGAAGCAAGCGCAGCTGACTTAAATATTCATGGATGAGCCACACGCTACCTTGAGAATATCCTTTCGGCTCTAATCGATTACGCACTACTTGTTAGGCATGCCAAAACAACGCGCGGCATCATCGTCGGAATGTCGAATGAATAACATAAGGGTGGCGAATAACGTCGACGTTATCCGCATAAAGAGAATTTTTAGGACTTTTTCCGCGGAAAAGAGTTCAATTAAGGAACACGTCGCGATGGTCCATGGAGGTGGGAAATCCAGTCATTTCACTGGTTGACAGTTATTTTCGATAGCGGCGAGTAAACCTCACCTTAGCAAAATCCTGATATATGAAGGTAGGATCCTCGATGAATAGACCGATATCCGAGTCGAGGACCGAGCTACTTCTCTGCGGCGCCGCTGCCAGCTCGGCCGACTGCGTCTCGACAGTCTCGAATCTCTTGGAGAGTTCCTCCTGCGTGATCTGATAGGACTCGGACTTTTCCGACAGGCGTTTCATACGTTCCATCAGAGTCTCCACGCCGACCTCCTGCTCGCCGACTATGCTCGGCGACGACGGCGGTGACGGCATATTTTCTGCATGAAACCAAACGCAAAACTCGACATTACGGAGTCGTGTTTAAAATGACGTATAATTCATAATTAAAAGCGCATAATTGAAAAATTCGGATTAAATCATCTCGTTACGATCGATATTATCTATAGTAAGGAAAATAGATAAAGTGCAACGTACCGGTTTTGCCGTCGCCGTTGGGAATTTTCTTCGGACTGCTGGACAATTTATCTTTGGCTGGCGGTACGCTATTACTATTGTCCTGTATGTTCTTCTTGTAATGATGGCCAGTTACGTTATCCAATTCCTCGTTAACCCCGCAGGAAAATACGAAAGACGACAACGAGTGGAAGTGAGCTAATAGGACTATCGCTTGGACGACCTCGGCTAAGGACCAATTATCGTCGCCCTTAGTCAATTTCTATAATTAAAAAACAAAATAGCAACAAACGTATTTTATTAATATTTTCAAGCACGATTCGGCAATTTAATAAATCGCGAATAAAATATAATTCATATGTAAATACAATATTATCGCTTACCTCTATGTGCGACTTGTTCAGAAGCCACGGTCTATGAGCTAGGATCTTGTTGATCTCATAGAGATCTTGCAGCTTCCCCGGGATCGATCTCAGGCCTTGGAGCCACGAGGGGTCACCGCCCTGAAGAAGGAACTCTCTCTTCTGCAGGTTTATAAGGTAGCTACATTGGTGCCTACCCGCGGCCTGAAATTACACGATAGATGGATCTTCAAACCTGTTTTCTCATCAACTTATCTGTCGATTTATCCGCGATACCACTTGACGCCACATTTAGAAAGCGTTTCCATATAATCATAATGTAATCTCTCTTATACATTTCTCACAAGCTTATTGTACGACATTAAATCGTATGTCATTGTCAATGAAAAGGATTCCAAAAATTTTAGATAATATCCGAGAAAAGAAGCCGTAATCCTGAATATTCCGCTAATTGATCTCTGTGATAAAACACAATTTGAATACAAAATGAAAATCTATATGCGCAAGTAGAAACGTTCCAGATGTTTCTAACGCTGGGTTATGTCGAGTAATGATATAATATAATTACGGCATAATTACAATGCACACACTGTATTATGTGCAGTAAATCGTTTAATTTATGGCCGTTTCGACGATACAAGCTTCGTAATCTTGATTATCACCGCTCGCCTCAGGCTGCATATCACAATAAGCAAATATATATATATATATATATGGGTCTGCAAAATTGGCTTGGACAGATAATGCTCGTCGATAAGATACTATCCATAGGGAAATAAGCGCGAATAAAACGATCGAGTTCGCGAGCATGCGGATCGACCGAAAGCAATTTCGCCTCCCGAGGAATTTCTATTCGAGTATTGAATACCGGGTGCGTTCGCGAACGTCGGAGTTATTGGCTCGATTTTCGGAACGAAGATGGGGGTGACTTTCAGCTCGCTCTCTCTCTCTCTCTCTATCTATCTATCTCTATCTATCTCTCTCTCGGCAAACATGCCCTGCGTTTTTCAATTTCAACACAACGCAAATTTCGAACGGCGAGAGACGAATTGACGACGACGTGATGATGCATCGCGGTGCAAAATTGCGCGAGGTCGCGACGACCGGCAATATCGTGCGCGTTATCACGTTATCATTTTCAGCACGTGTCGAATCCAGCAGATATCGAATTTCGAGTTTCGTTCTATAAACTGTGCTTAATCTGTCGATGAACAAACAATCTAACGATGAACAAGCCCATCGAACCGTCGCGTTATCAACCTTGTAATTGACAACAAAGAAAAATCTTAACCATATAAAAAATTAGTCATAAGCATAAAACGATAGATTCGACGGTGCTCGCGCGTATTCGAGCATTAGAAATCTACATTTAGAAAGTAATATCGAAAAAATACGTGAGAAAAAATTAAGAACTTGATATGTGACGAACATTTTAAATTCGTTGATGATCCCACATTGGAATATCATATTGTGTATATCATAAAAACATTTATATATTACGCGATTGATAACAAAAAAAAAAAATAAATTCTCGAATAATGGAAAATTTGTGACCAATTAAATAGTTTTTTTAACAATATAAAGAAAAAAAACTTATTTTTGAAAATTTATAATACGAATTTTATATAGGCGCAACTATTTGAGGTTTAAATTACCTGACGCAAGTTCGATGATCTATTTATTTTCGCGTGAGTAAAGTGCACGGGTATGGAGAACGTGTCAGTTTAGCATCCTCGACTTGCCATTTCGCCGATCGCGGAGAATGCGTGAACGATAGATGCAGCGCGATCAAATCACAGAATCATCGATCATCGTGGCCAGGACATGGTATCAATATCATGGTAAAGAGCGAACCCGAGTGAAAAAAAGCAGAATAAAAAAGGAAAAAGATAGAGAAAGAGAGAGATAGAGAGGGTGTGTATGCATAAGAGAGTGCGATAAAATAGGCAAACAAGACACCTGTTTGCCATGAGGCATCTCTGGAAATCAATCGATTCAAGAGTCATGATAAGCGATAAGAAAAGAGTCCGCAAATACTTCAAGAATCTAATGGATTTTCGCGAAAAACATGAATATAATAGCCCAGAGAATGTGGCGTGCTGTCTGTTAATAATTTATCGGGTTTATTAGTTTAATCGACAGGAGAATGAGAGGGAAGGGGAAGAATAATAAATATCAATTTATATGGGGAGGTATCCATAGAAATTTTGCGATTTTCGCGAAAGGAGCATGAAAATTATCAATGTGCATCGAGATTAAAGGAGAAAAACAAGAAAAAAAGAGAAGATTATTGGCATCAATTTTATCACGTAATCAATCAGCATCCAAATCCGATTATCATCAAATTCGTCAATTATGAAAATTTGCGGAAGCATTATCTTTTCACGCGGCGCAATTATATCAGAGATTAATGAATATTAATTGCCGTAAAATGCTCGGCCAGACTTTACTATAGCAATATCGATTTTTATTTTGTACTGTGGAGAATTATCGCGCGGGAATTAGAAAGATGATAAAGTACTGAAAATAATAATTCATTATCGCCAGAAAACAATATGCACGTGATTGATAATCGCGAGAAAAATGCGAGTATGTATCCACCGCGTTTAAAATATAACATATCTCGATAACCGATATATTCATGTCAGATACTTTCGACGAGATGTCATCTCTACAATTACCATAAATGTAATCAGGAAACGCGAAAAAACACACTGTTTTTCTTTCCCGAATCGCGAAAGAGCATACCTTTGGTACCCTCTGATAACCCCATCGCAAACACGCTGCAAAATTACGAGCGGTCTGTGATAAACGTTTCGTCATAATTCGAAATCGTCGAACGTCCAATTCGCAATGTTCACATTATTCGTTTTTCTATGCTATTCACATTTTATTTTCGAAAGAAGCTAAGTGAATTGACAGTTGTTAAACCTATTGTAATCATCGATAAGAAACATTGATAACAGCAAAAAATTTATATCTGTATTAATTAACAGATATAATTTGAGACAGAGCGATTGGCGACAATTATATGACACTTATCTTTCAAAGTCAGTCTGATATTATGTTTTCTTTCATTTACACACACAACATCGTGTGCATTTATTTTGCACTGCAAGAATCATACAAATGTGTGCTTGATGCTTACAAAAATAAAATTTAAATATATATATATATATATTTTTTTTTAATATCACAAAGCTGTGACATTTTTATTTGTGTTTGTAGAATAAATATGGGATATTTATTTATATATAAAAAATATAAAACTTCTCTCTATTTTTATATCATTTCTGGATCTAGATATAAATTAAATATAGATACTAGTACATATATCTATCCATATCTAAAAATAAAATTCCAAGATACTTTAAACAAACATTTTAACATCTTTTTTGACTTTTTCGTGATATTCGACAAAAAGAATTTACGTAATGTTAAATATTTCACATTTTTTCAAGCAAAAATTAATAAAGTATTAGAATAAATAAATTCCTATGTTCAAATAAGATCATGAAATTTAGTTTTTTACATAGCCATTTTTAATCTCGTTACAATGTCTAATAAATCTATGTGTAATAAGATATGCGATGCAATTGACTTTCCCAGTATCATTTTCACCTCGAGGCGAATCCCGAAGAAGAAAGTCCATCGTGCGAAATGTTTATCGATAGAAAAGCTGTTTTTCAGATACCTTATCACTTTATCGCGCTCCACGTGTACCGACCAACAATTTATCCTCGTCCCCGTCCGCACCCCGCCACGATATAAAGTCTTTTTCGAGCGATCGTTACGCGCCGCGATGATATTTCATCTATATCGCGCCGGCATGTCTCCCGAATTATCAGGTCGAGATAATTCGAAGATCGAGCGAGCTGAGAAACGCGCGGAAGACAGCAATTGAAATTAAATTGGGATAAACTTGAAATGTGTGAATTTCGCGACTTTGATATAAAATCGAACTCAGATATTATGTATGATATTATATGTATATTACGACCACTTCAAAGACGGAAGCTGTAACCTCGATATTATAAAATATGAAGAGATAGCAGTTTGCTCAAGATTTTGCAATAAACAAAGTCAATTGCAGTCGCGCAAATGCTGATCAAGCAGCTGTTAACTTGACAATTCGAACTAAATCAATTCATAAAATCTGCGTACTTGCTCTCGCGCTTATATCAAGTGTCTCTAACAACATCGTGTTGTTTTCATCAGTTTTATATTATGTTTCATACATATCCATCATAATTATACATTCAATGGATAATTATGCATTGGTTAATCTGAGCTCATCTCCAGAAATGGAGCAAAATTTAATCGAAAAACAACAATTCTGCAAGAAGTGAAGACAAAAAAAACCAGAAAATTAAGTAGACTCGTTTCAAATGATTGCGGAAAACGAGTTGTTTTTTTTTTTTTCAAATATCGCAAAAAACCAGAAAGATATTGGAATATTTATCTATATAAAAGCTCTTGAATTTGTATAAATTATTCCACACACATTTTTAAACACGAATAAAAATTTCGCAATTTTATGATGTTTTAAAAGAAGATATTACAATTTTATTTTCGTAAGCAAACATATGGATTTGTGTGGTTCTTGCTCGCAGTTCGTACAAAGTAAAGTCAACAAATCTATTTTATCTCTCTACTCTGTGTGTGTTATCTAGACAAGCCTGTTTCTCGCCCAAATCTGTATATTCCGAGTGTTAAATGATAAATGATCCATTTACTGAAAAATATTGGCTTGTCTGATCCTTGCAAGCAGGTTTTCGATTGATCAGTTAAATACCTTCACCTATGTATTTATATTTATATTCCATAAAATGCTTATATGCATTAGAATTAAACTGTACTTATATTTCTATTTTTGATTTAAGTCGTCGATAAGAACAGAAAAAAAAAATTATCTATAATTGAAAAATAAAATACAAGTTTATTTAGTCATCAAGCACTTTTGTAAAATTCTGTTTTAAATATAATAACACATTTTTTGAAAAAAAGAGAACGTTGTTTTCAAGATAATTCCTACACGCGTTCATATTTTTTATATGCGTGCATCTAAGAGAGTCATAGTTATATAATTGCATATAATAAAACGGCATGTTTCGATACAAGAATAGCTAAAAATAATGACGAGCGAGCGCACATGTATCGCCGAGTGGTAAAGATCATAAAGGAACAGCCAATGTTATTTTTCGCATCTTCACCGAGTCTTTTCTACGACAACGTGCGTGACATTACGAAACACGCGTTGCATTTATTCAGATGACGATAACCCTCGACCCGATGAACCCGCTGCCACTTGAGGGTGATCGGGGAACACTTTAGAGAAAAGATGAAGGCGCGATGAAGGAAAGCTTAGCTTCGCGAGCTACGATTCTTCTCTCGCGAGAATAATGATAAATTATATTCAACGTAATCGACGACCGCGCGAAAAAAAAAACACTTCGAAAAAAACGAAGAATATTAAAAAGAAAACGAAACATATTTTTAAAATAACATTCAAAAAAATCAATCAATGCGGGAATAGAAAAAAAATTCTCTCCTGATTGGAAAAATGTACTTGACATAGAACTTATAAAACTTTCTATAGGAGGACAAGAACGAGAACTCACCATAATAGCGATGAGATGTCGGTAGTCGTAAGGAAGTGGTCCATCACCCCGAAGGATGAAATGCTGAGTCCGCAGGAAATGTTCCAAATACGATGGATGCGATGACATTACCCTCGAGACATGATCCAGCCTGTTGTTCTGTACGAAAACATCCATCAATAGCACATGCGTCTGTAACACAATCAAAGCACATTTCACATAAATAAAAGCTAAGTGTCACGCGTGTAATCTAGAATTAAAGTGTTTCGTGAACATGTCTCTCGCACAACGAAACACTTGAAATTGATAACACATCCGACTTAAAATTTAAAAATATTTAATATCGAGAGATGAAAAAGAGTATCCGCGAGAGAAGAGATAATCAAATTTAATTTAAAAATTCAATTATTACAACGAATTATGAAAATTATCTTCACACACACAACATATATATGTATATATATATATACTTCGCCTCGAAATGTTAGAAATGTATTCGAGTTTTGCTTGTTTTTTTCGAGCAGGAAGATTTATCCCCGCATTAGAATCTATCCGGTAATTGGTCAACCGGTCACGTTATTTTCGGTTGTGCTTAAAACCCGTTAGTCGTACCTTGCCCGGCGTCCCGCGATAAATTTTGAGCATTGGAAAGTCAGTGTTTTCATCTACGCGTCTCATACACAATGCTAATCAATTTTACTACCTTATCGCACTTCATTTCATAGCATGTATCGTCGTAAAAAGAGCGAGATGCGGCTGGAGGAGGAGAGGGCATATTGATATCGCGTTGATCGCGATATCAATTACATAATCGCGTTTATGACACGTGCTCAAATATGAAGGAGTGGAATATCCGGGTCATCCGAAAGCGATCCACGCAATCAGGTGTTTGCGTTGCATCATTCGACAGTTCGTTTTGACTACTACTGATTAATGTAACCTCATGTCTTTGTGCGTACGTCGCGAGAGATAAGAGCAGCTAAAATAGATATATCGGCATAAATCATTGTTCGCGCAGTAGACACGTTACACTAGAACATCACGTGTTTTAATGACTATGTTACTTATGATCGTTTTTTAAACAATCACAGAATATATCGGTATACAAGATTATTACAGGAAGTTATTTTTAAAAACAAAGCATGACACAAAAATGTGCCATCAAAGAGGATTTGGATAAAATAAATATGAAAAAAAAAAATTATACAAATGATCTTTCATGTATCTAATCCCTAGAATATTCGAGTATCCACAGATTAGACGGCTTTGATCTACGACAACTTTGTACGTTTTTAAAAAAAATGGTCAAGATTTGTTAATGTGTAAATTTAATGTAAACGTTTACATTTCTTGAGTCATAACACAAATAGAAGATAATCCACCGTTAGAGAATAAACAAACGTGACTTTTCTACCGAGTCACGTTTCACCGCTTAATGCGATTTACCGGCTTGTTAATATTTATACCATAGTTCCTGTTTACCAGTTTCTTGTCCCACCGATATTGAAATCAACTCATCCGTTATAAATATGGAAGAGCCTACCGGTGATCGATGAGCGCTGACGCAATCACATTTTAGGATCGCCTCGAATGTAACGGAGTACGAAATGTGCGAGTAAACAGTCGTTCGTCATGTGCGTGCTCGCGCTACGAAATTGGCGGATCACCCGATGTATGCGTAAGTCGATTAGGAATCAAACTCGAAGTCCTTTGTCTCCCGTCGCGCGCGAGGTCATTTCGCGAGAGTGTGGGAGTTAAGCATTCGCCTAATCGTTTCTACGATACTTCCCTTCCGCATGCGTGCGCTCCTTCGTGTGTACATTTGTCTTTCACATATACATGCAAAACAATACGCAAACGAGCCTGTACATACGCGACGAAGTTTGCGAAAACTTCGGCAACTTGACATATAAAAATTACTCAATACTGCAAATTAAATTTCAATGATATCTATACAAGGGGAAAAAAATGAGTTTTTTTTTCCTAAAAGAGCGCAAATAGATAATAATTCTTATTAAATTCTCTCGCAATATCTTGACAATCGATAACGAGTACTATTTTGCAAGTCACCAGATTTTTATTTATCAGTTGCTTAATCATTAAAGCATTGTTAATGCATTGTTAATGCATTAATATATACGTTGCCTACGCGGTATCGATGTTTATTAGCAATTCGATAAATATTTCTAGGAAATTATTTTATCGATTTTCACACCGACAATTCTGCAATATGCAATTTTCATCGGACATCATGTCGAAGGAGAGTAATAATTAAAATATTAACTGAGCCAATAAGTTAAATTAAAATGTAACTTGTGCGACTGTCGCAAACGATCTGTAAGTAAATAGCTATGACATAAATGTATATAAATGCAGGCATGATTTGTCCCGCAATGATGTGGTCGACCTTGTATTAGGTCGCTAACCTATGCAAATATATACATATGTAATACCGAAGGGTAAACCACGGGAGATATAGTGGTGTGCAAATCGATATCGCTTTGATTTTGGTAGACATTATTTTTTTTTAAATGAGATATTAAATTCGGCATTAAATGATGAAGAGAAAGTTTCGTTAAAGTACCTTCCCCCCTCTTCCTAGATGCAAATAGAGATTTCTTTTCTTAGACATTATTAAACACTAATGTACAAAATTTTGTTTTCAGTGAATTATTCCTCTTGTAATACACACTTACCGAAGACAAAAGGCTTTCAAGCTTTCGGCGCCGACTTTCGTCTGGATGGGATATCAAACGACGTTTCACCGGACGTACGCAAACGGGACACGCCATGTCATCCATTATAATCATCGTAGAACAACTATCGTAAGTGCGATAATAGCGGGACATGATTTTACGTGACGACAAAACATCACGTCGAAACGACCGTACGCGCTTCGACCTCGACTCGACGAATCGTTATCACTCTTAATTGGATGACGATTGAAGGAAGAAAAAAAAATAAGATGAGATTACGCGCTAAACGTATTAACATATTCGCTCCTCATTCGATCGATTTCCCCGAACTCGATGCAAACAAGCGAAACAAAGAATAGATTCAAATAAAAACGCTTACGAAGCTAAAATCAATACCGCGGAATGATTAATCGAAGACTCAATCACGCGATTTATTATCATTATTATTATTGTACGTTCGATTACAATATCGAAAAAAATCTTACCCGAGCGACGGATTTGCTGTGATTTTCACCAAACATCAAGAGATGGATGTGAACGCGTCAACTGTATTTTACAAAGGTTACTGTAGGGTGGTCGATAAATGCGCGAGTTTATATAAAATAAGGTTTATTAAATAAGGGAAGGAAATAGGGTATATAGCGTATCTTATGGGGTATCGTATCATGACTTTACTCTCTCCTCGTGCGTTATAAAAATAAATGTCAGTCTTTATAAAAATAAATATCAATCGCCGCTTCTTGCTCTTGCAAAAATTGTACTCCGGGTGTTTTATTGGTCGAGACGCATATAACGCCACACTTATATAAATTCATGTAAATTAATGCAGGCATGTTTATAATTCAGATTCCTCTCGCGTACTGCAAGAAGCTAAGAGAGTTTCACATCTTAGCGAATTCCGACAAAATTTACTTCGTACTTTCTATTATGATACAATTTCAAGTTTGTCTCCGCGCGAACTTTGCTCTAAAATTAGGATAGAGTTTGTTTTCGACACAAGGCAATCCCCGCGACATAATTTGCGCGTCCGTTTCTCGCGTAACATCCACCCGCCGATTTATCGAGCACATCGACCACAACATCCGTAGACTTGTTGTCACGTGTGTACAAAAGTGAATTTAATAATCGAGAGTTGTGTGTCTCGTTAAGGAGAACACCCGCTCTCGAATCGACTCATCTACTATTAAGTGACATTTGTGTTGCCGAGAGAAGTCGGATTCAACGCGCCGACGGAAATAACAGATTACCCAGTGTCGGTTATCCGGCGTGGCAGCCGGAAATTAAGAGAGTAGTCTGAGTACTCAAAACAATTTACTCGATACTTTTTGGCAGGCCTCGAGAAAGCCTCCAAAAGAGAGAAAAAAATCCGCGTGTGTATTTGGTTAATCGACGCGAACGTGAATTATCTCCGTCCAACTTTTATCGGGAAATGTATGCTTTTTACTGACCGTCACACATTTTATTGGCTTAAACTCCATAAATGTTTTACTGTGCGATCATCGCAAGAAACGCACACGAACTGATATTAATACTAATACCGACGATTATCTAACACACGCATTCATCATTTTACTACGTAAACATCCGCTTGATGACCCGTTTCGTTCTCAAGCTGGTATTTTTCTGCGTTACGTTATAGGCGGACATAAAAAAAAACGCGAACAACACTCTGTACATTGCAATACGTTCCATCGACAATCGACAGTCATTAACCGTTAAACGCTGGACATGACGCGAGAGACAAGTTGTTAAGTTGTTTTCAACATCAGTATATTTTTTCGCAGCGTATTTTTTTCTACCCACTAAATTAGCTATCAGCTATTATTCATCGCACAAACGCGCGCTTTCAGGGACTCCGCGAAATTGCTGTTTTATTCCAACCTAACCGGAACAATTCCATTGATGAAGTTATTTATACGAACATAAACAGCACAAAAATTGAGACTCTCTCTCTCTCTCTTTTCTCTTTCTTTTATATATTTCCTCGCAATTTTCTCGCTAACATCACGATTCAAGAGCTTGCGATTGAAGCCGGTATAATTTTGCCGAGCTCAATTTTCGAAACTACGAACTGGCAGAAATGATCTCTATGCTTATTTGCGATCATGGAAACGCCACGATTCAATGTGAGGTTCTCTCTTCCGTGTATTTAGAGCATCGGAAATTAAGAACTCATAGAAATCATAACGCTTTATCTAGAAAATAGTCGACATAGATATCATTACCAGATGCATCGATTGCACTTTCTTTTCTAATCCTTCATTTTCATTGCCAATTTTCCTTTTCTATTCATTCGTACTATGAAATTTCTCATATTTTCTACTTCCCGCAATAAAGTATTTTAATTTCTTATAAATCCTAATATTCATTCTCTCCTCCTTCTCTCTTACATCTTTTCATGTAATTTTTGATCTCTTATTATGTTACATATGTATATATGTAACTCTTTTTAAATCAACAATTTTATATTTATATAGAATTTCTAGTTTTTCTTAT